CCTTCTCTCTTCACCTTTATCTCTCCTTCTCTGATTTGAAGGTATGGTTCTGTCCTTGGATTCTCAAACTCTCAACTCAGTTGTAACTTCCTCAGGGTAAGAATTTATTTGACATCTATAAAGTGCCAAGCATGCCTATGGCACTATAAAAATAGTAATACTAGAGCAAAAATAGTAGGAACGTAGTTGAGACCAAGAACTTTGCTAGATTCAAAAAGGTTTTATTTATATGGACATTTATATGGGTAACAGAAATATCCGGATTTATATAGTTAACACTCACAATAATTTTAGAAAGAGATTAAAAAAAAGCCTCTCATGCCACAGGGTTTAAGACCATCTCGGACTATTAGAGATTTGGATTATTCCACATCTGCCCAGTGTAGGGTCTTCATCAACCTTCCTGTGAAGCATCTGGTGCTGGCCAGTGTCAGAGATAGGTTACTGGACTAGCTGGACCATGGGTCTGATGCAGTGTGGCCATTCCGATGTTTCTATGCTCCTAGAAACAACGTGCTTACATCTGCGACAGAATTCTGTGTGTTTAAATTTTATGCCAGGCCTCATAAGTGGGTCGAGCAGCAGAGGTTCAACATGTTCTTATGGGTTAAGGATTACTATGTTTCCCCAATATTGTGAGATGACAGATTAAATGGGGCAGTCCAGAGTACTCCAAAAATGGTGTGCAGAGTCGTGGACATTCCCTTAACATGATATCAGACCAGCACAATGTCATCTCTCATTGTGTTGTTAAGATTGCTTTGCTTTGTGAAGCAAAATCATGATGGTGTGAGGATGAGTTTGTTTTCTTGTGACCAACATAAAAATGACCCTTACTACTGCCCATCATCTAAACTAAGTTGGTAGGTCTAATATTCTTCTAAGCATGTCAGATTTTATAGTGGCTCTTACAGGACCTGATCCAGTGCCCCCTGAAGCCCTTTTGATCTGGTTGACAAGGAGAAATTGTGGTTCTACTCCACCAGTATCCATCAAATGCAGTGATCAAAACTGACTGCTGTAGTAGAGATAAAGTCACTGTCACCAAACAATGTCACAGGATCAATGTGTCTCAGTTGAAAAATATTGTCTTATCTCAGGTTCTAGCTTTAATCTAGCTTCAGAAAACTGTGATCTTGTAATGGTGATGTTCTAGACCCCTTAGACATCCTCTCTCTCAAATATGCAATGTGTATTTTCCAGTCACCAAACTGGCTGATTTGCATGACATTTAAAATATATTGTATATGTGATGCGTCGGCATATTCTGTCATAAATATGTATTAACACAACCAAAAATTACATTTAGTGACAAGCTAAGGTTTCATCACACCACACCCTGCCCACCAGAAACCTTAAAAGCACAGAAATATGAAGTTAGGGGGAAAATCTCTAGCATTTTTTGCTTGCCGCCTTCACATCGCCTACAATGCTATTAATAATGCACTCCTGCACTCCATAAGGCATTCACATCCAAATTGCACTCTCATACAAAATCTTAATGGTGAATTTATAGATTCAAAACATATTGTGCCACATGAGGAGTCAGCATATTCTATAATAAATTATGTTAAAAAACTAAATTAAAAGAACAGTAAGGTTGCAAAGATGAGTGCTCAAGAGTTAGGAAATGCCAGGCTTAAGGTTGCTTCCTTCTGTGTATGCATTATGTTACGGTCTTTAATTACACAATCACATGCCATTTTTTTCCACAGGACTCCTGCCTTATTTAGCGAATGGGTAGTTATTCAAGACTTTTTTGTGCTCTGTGTTCAATATGTGGCCCCAGGCCTTATTTTCTTTACACTGTCCAAACTCTGCACTGAATTATTCATTTCCTTTGGGGCATTTCTATGGTGCTCTCACCAAACTATCAAAATGCATTGACCCTAACATTAATTAATTTATCCTCACAACAGATCTGTGAGATTAGCTGTTATAATTTTCCCCACTTTACAGCTGGAGAACTAAGGCACAGAGAGATTAAGGCAAAAATTATCAGACATGTCTACAAATGTTGCGTGCCCAATTGGAGACATGCAGGCTTTTATTTTTCAGAACACTTAGCTTTTTGATAGCACTTTCTGCGGTCAAAGAACAGCTCCCATTGACTTCAGTTATAGCTGTGAGTGCTCAGATCCTCTGAAAATCTAACCCTATGTATTCTGGGCACACACAATTAGTGGCTATGGACAACCTTAATTCTGGCACTTCCTACCTTCTGAGTACTTGACCTTGCAGTCTTAATGTTCTTTTAAGGTAGTTTTTTATACAATATATATTAAAGGCAAACAGTTAGTTTACTGTAACGTGCAGTATGCACAGTTAAAAATCACAAATAAGCAGGAAGTTAAGGTGCCAACAGCAAGGTTAATTCAACAGCACCATACAGCCTGTATTCTTAGAGTATATGAGAAAAATAAAACAATGTGTATTAAGCAAAATATTTAACCAGAAAAAAATATGTATACAAAATACTACAGCGCTAGTCAAGTAACACCATGTTGGTACCTTTGTGTTTTCTTGTGACATACATAAAAATGGCCCTTACTACTTCCCATCATCTAAACTAAGTTGGTAGGTCTAATATTCTTCTAAGCATGTCAGATTTTATAGTGACTCTCACAGAACCTGATCCAGTGACTACTCATGATTTTAACTGGGGGGGAGGGGAGGGACACAGAGTGGACCCCTGTTGGACATTCATGGGTCCTAGGGACTGAGGGCCAGAAAAATCCACGAGGCCCTTATAGAACTTCCTCTGCATATTTCCTTTAGGGGGCATCACTTGTCCACCTCTCCTTACAGAAGTGTTTAGGGGTCCAGGCCAAAAACCCTGTCAAATCCTCAACATACACTGGGCTATGTATGGGGTGGGGGGGTGAGAAAACCTGTATTTGTGCTGGAAATGGCCCACCTTGATTATCATGCACATTGTAGGGAGAGTGGTCGCTTTGGATGAGCTATTACCAGCAGGAGAGTGAGTTTGGGGGGGGGTGGGGTGGGCGGAGGGTGAGAAAACCTGGATTTGTGCTGGAAATGGCCCAACTTGATGATCACTTTAGATAAGCTATTACCAGCAGGAGAGTGGGGTGGAAGGAGGTATTGTTTCATGGTCTCTGTGTATATATAATGTCTTCTGCAGTTTCCACAGTATGCATCCGATGAAGTGAGCTGTAGCTCACGAAAGCTTATGCTCAAATAAATTGGTTAGTCTCTAAGGTGCCACAAGTACTCCTTTTCTTTTTGCGAATACAGACTAACACGGCTGTTACTCTGAAACCATACACTGGGGTGTAGATCATCTGCTGTGACTCTCCATGCCCCTGCATGGACCTATCCCCTTTGCGGCTCTGCTTCCATGCCCTGGCAGGGCTGTCCCACTGGAATTCTCCCTGGCCTCTAAGATCACCCGTTTAAAGGGGTTCCCGAGTGCACAAGGTGCCTTGAAGAAAAGCTCATACAGCTTCAAATTGTCCAGAATAAAAGTTCACCTTCTGGCAGAGACCAAGTCTGGAAAATTTCAGCCTCAAAGGTGAATCTAGGAAAGGACTCTGTGAATTCAAAGGGTTACAGTGAAAACTGTTTAACTATAGTGGGAGCGACCAACACCATAGAATCATAGAATCATAGAATATAAGGGTTGGAAGGGACCCCAGAAGGTCATCTAGTCCAACCCCCTGCTCGAAGCAGGACCAATTCCCAGTTAAATCATCCCAGCCAGGGCTTTGTCAAGCCTGACCTTAAAAACCTCTAAGGAAGGAGATTCTACCACCTCCCTAGGTAACGCATTCCAGTGTTTCACCACCCTCTTAGTGAAAAAGTTTTTCCTAATATCCAATCTAAACCTCCCCCACTGCAGCTTGAGACCATTACTCCTCGTTCTGTCATCTGATACCATTGAGAACAATCTAGAGCCAGCTATAATACTTAATCAGTTCAATGAATCCAGAACCTAGCCTAAGCTCTGGGCATCTTATATTGATTAACACACACAACTACAATCTTTTACATTTTCACTATCCTAATTCAGTCCTTCCAAAATCCAATCACACAATTCTTCAGTTAGCCAATAACCCTCTATTCCCCCAGGAAAACTGCAAGACTGCGCCTGTATCCATCTCCAACATACAACCCTCTTCTTCTGTCTGCAAACCCCTGTCTTCTCCAGATGCCTGTGGGGAAAAAGGGAGGCTTTACAGCATGCCTGGAAGGTCATCTATATGGTCATGTTCTATACGTTTGCAGTCTGTAAAGAGAACACAGAAAGCGCCGTGATTATATTCAGCGTTGTGAATGGGGTTCCAGCCAGGTGCTGCTGAACCTCAGGAGTTACTTGCATGGCATCTGCATGGCAAACATAGATAATCATGCTTCCCCACCTTTGCTGGCACTGGGAAGCCTTTCCACTGACTTCGATGACTTTGGATCAGGCCCATGGCAAGCCCAACTTCCCGCACCGCACCTGCAGCATGAGCCCTGCCTTTTGCCGCAACACGAGACCTACCTCACCCATGATGCGAGACCTGTCTCCTCCTCCAGCATGATAAGTCCCACTTCCCCCCCCCCACCCGCAGCAGGAGCCCCGCCTACGCACCTGCATATTGTGAGTCCCACATCTCTGATCTCACCTGTGCTCACTTGCAACACCAACAGCAGGAACCCTACCTCCCACTTCTCACCAGCAGCACAAGCACCAGCTTCCCCACGGAGAAAATTTTTCCTTTCAGTCGGCTGCTATATTAACTGAGCTCTCAGGAACAGCCTCAAGCACACAGAGAATGTCTAATCCGGAGAATGTCCTCTGACAGCACTATGATCAATATTCCATGGGGACAATTACACTTTCCCACCTTTGTTAAGCCCTTGGAGGTCCCCAGATCAAACGAAAGGGGCAGGGAGTGCAAACTCTTATTATTTACTACTGCTATTAACTGGGGGGGGACAGCACAGCTTCCTCTGCCAACAGCAGCCTACTTTAATTACCCCAATTCACTCACCTATGACGCTTGCGAGTCTTCTGCTACCGTGGTGAAAGTGAATGTTTTGCAGCATAGTCTGCTCCTATGTCCACTTTCCTTTCTCTTCCCACATCCTCACCCTGGTGTTGATTTGTTCAGCTGCAGGGAAAAAAATCTGGTTCCAAGGTCACCGGAAGGACAGTCAAGCCAAGGTCTCACAAAAGGCCTATCTCCCTGTAACAGCCGGGAGGAGGCCGTCTCGTTTGCTTAAACAGTGATACTGGCTCAGAGGTCAAGCCCCCAAGGCCATGCCCCAAATGCCTGGGGCACTTGTGTGTTGACTGGAGAAACCAATGGGTTGCCTTGCATATAACCAGTGCTTTATTAATAAAATGCTATTCCATTCAGACAGGAAAATATCTATTTTAGAAAGGACTAACAAAACGTGACACTTTCTGGTACAATGAGTAGTTACTCTGCTCAAGAGATGGATCGACCTGGAATAGTATGTAGAGGTCTGTACCGGCAGAGCCCCGTAAGGAGGCCCAGAGCTGGAGATGGAGGGGTGCTGCAGTCAGCACTGAGGTCTAAGTGGGAAGCTACCACCGTATTTGTTTTTGCATATCTCTCTTGCCCCTGGGGTGACACCAGCACCATAATATCCTGAGAATCAAATTCACTTCAGTTTGGTGGTCAGAGAAAGAGTTGATTTGTTAAGATTGCGAGCCTGTGACAGGTGCACAAGGAAGATGGAATAAGAAAGAGGAAAGGGGGTAAACTAGCGGAAAGAAAGAATGAAAAACTGAGAAAAGAGGGAGATTAAGAAAAAGTGACAAAGAGATATATCTTGAGAGAAAAATAAATAGCTAACTGCCCTTTCCTCATAAACTATAGTATTTAAGTACCTTTAATGCATTTTGTGAGAAAGATCTATTGTTCCCATTTGATGGGTCCCGGGTTAAGGGATAGCAAGTCTGGCATTTGCCCGGGGGCCCATTCTACAGGGGGCCCTGCGAAGCTAAATTGCTTAGGCTTTGGCTTCAGCCCTGGGTGGCGGGGCTCAGGGTCTCGGGCTTCAACCCTGCACAGCAGGGCTTCGGCTTTCGGTCCTGGGCCCCAGTGAGTCTAATGCTGGTCCTGCTTGTGGGACCCCCTGAAACCTGCTCGTGGCCCCCCTGTGGACCCCAGGCCTCTGGTTGAGAATTGCTGCACTAGTCCACTGAGTATCTGACTGGGCTCCTTGTGGCTGGCTCCTCCCAACACTAAAAGGCCTAGCTGGACAGCAGGTTTGCTCTTTGTGGGTCCCGGGAACCCACAGTGACATCAAATCTTTCCTCTTCTCCTCATCCCAGTGCTGGGACTGTCAAAACTGGCACATTTTTGAGGCTGAGAATCTTCTCGTAGTTTAAGGAGCTGGGATGATGTAGGCACAGGTTATACTGTCTTATTCTAACCCTTTGATTTCACTGCTCCTCTGTTTAGTCACTCATATTCTACCAAAGATAGAATGTAAGCTTTCTGGGCAGGGACGCTCTTTCACTATGAGTCTGTAGAGTGCCTAGCACAAACTTAGCAGGGGCCTGTAATAATCATTTGCATTATGCTATTGTTATTTGTTCATTATTGTGTTCAGTTAGGGATAGGAGAAATGGATAGGTCTTTCCAGAGTAAATAACACTGGAGTGGATACAAGTGCCAGAAGACCAATGGCTTGTTGTTGCTACCGATGATGCAAAGCTTCCCCCTCCCCAATGCTCCCCAGCATAGCAGCTTGATGCTTTCATTCTGGCTAATCTGTGTTTGAGAGCTGTTTTCTTTTTATCCTCTTTCTAATTTTAACCCACAAGGAAAACACAGAACTCTTAGCCCAAAACACACAGTCCAAAGTCTGGCAGACAAAGATAGGCCAGCCATTTCAGGAACTGTATAAACAGCAGTGTATAACTATATAAACATGCCTCTCCCTACCCCAAAGCCTTTGAGCATTCTGAAGGTGCCCAATTCAGCAGGCTGTTACACACCCGCAAGTCGAATGGCTCCCATGGGAGAGGAGGCTGCTCAGCACATCATTGGTTCAAGCCCTATCTCTACATTCACTCACTTTGATTCAATTCCGCTTCCTGTTATTCATTTACTCTGTTTGCACCAACAGAAATGAAATCTCAGGCCATGGTCTGCTGCAGCCCCTGCTTGAGCAAAGTTCCTATTAAAATCACAGATGAAGGACTAGGGCAGGGCTGGTTGCTAGACGGTCCGACACCAGAAGCACAGTGTGGAGCAGTAATAATGGGTTACTCTTAAAGCTGGCCTAGAACCATGTTGGAGCCGTGGCTTCCAACCCTGGCTGCCGCTAATCCCAGCTGGCATGGGGCCAGTGGGAAGGCCCTAAAACTTCAGCACCCTAGGTTTATGCCACCTACTTGTAAACCCAGCCCTGACCGCAGGATTTAGCACTAGGACAGGATACAAGAAGAAAAACAAATAAACAGCCAGCCAATAATCAACGACAAAGTCTAGATTTTCAAGTCAGCACCAACGTTTTTAGGAAGTTCAGTGGTAAACACCAGCAGTGAATGTGATTTTGCAGATTACTGTGGTAAATTACTTCTCATCATTATCAACAATATTATCTTACGTCCATGTTGCATCTCAAAGGATATTGCAGCAGTGTACACACTTGATATAGATACCACATCGGTGACAGTGTCATCCATCTGAGGAAGTGTTCCTATGGCAGCCTCACCTGCATTCTGCCTACCTCTCCCTCTCCAGCAGCACAACTGTTAACATTCCCAATGTCTCCCTCTTCAGCTGCTTCAAACAGCTGCCGTTTTTCAAAATCAACCTGCCACGGAAAGGTTTCCTTTTCCCATCTGGGTTCTCTCTCCAAATCACAGTCATTTAGCTGGATGAAAATCAGTCCAGGGCAACGGGAAGTTTTGCACCTGATGTTCAGTGGTTCTAAGAACAGTTGCCACTTAAGTCAGCCCCCTTTCCTCTGCTATGCTCCCAGAACAGAAGAGAAGTGGTGACATCAATTCTAAGGGCAAGTCTACACCACAGCGCTACATCGGCGCAGCGGCACTGATGCAGCATGTCTGGTGAAGACGCACTATACCGACAGGAGAGCAATCTCCCATCAGCATAATTACTCCACCTTGGCAAGAAGCGGAAGGTATGTCGAAGGGAGAGCGTCTCCCGCCGATATAGCACCAGTGTGGACAGCGTGGAACTTGCAGTACTCAAGGCAGGGTGAAGGCTTTTTCATACCCCTGAGCGACGTAAGTTAGATTGACTTAACCGGTAGTGTAGAGCTGCCCTAAGTCACAGGAGGGTGGGGTCACCCCATGCCTGGAGCAATCCTTCCTGGGCTGTAGGGCCAGAAGATACCAACAGCATGGTGCAAAGTGGCTGCACTGGGGAATCTGATCCTTTGTCAAGAGCCGGGTGTTCGCTGTTATGGTTTGTTCTGATCTGGGGTTTCTTACCATTAGCTGTACTGTTTAGTTCACCATTGTCCCAAAGGCAAGAGTGCTACCAGCAATGCTTCCTGCAGCAACTGGATTTTCCTTTGAGGTCTCCCATAAAATTACTGATAAAATCTTGCTCACGTAAGTTGACCAGATCACCTGCCAAGGTGCTAGGGCCGGGAGCTACACAGTAGCACACATATGTCTAAGAACTAGGATTGTTTTGCAATAGTATGTTCAAACAACTCAAGTGTATTAGGATTAAAAAAGGACTCTATGGTATGCTTCGGCATGGTGTTTGAGCTGATATTTGTTACATATTAGGAAAGCGGTGAGGGTAGGAAAGGCTGATTCACTGACCTAAAAAATGCCAAGCCATCTGTCAGCTGAGTTCAATGGTGGGTGAGCAGGAGGGTTGCAGCTGGTCAGTTCTGCCTTCCTTCACAAAGTCAAGTCGGCATCTTTGGCGAAAGTTTCATATTTGTGATCAGAGAATTGACTACACACTATCCGCATCTGCTCCCTCTGTGCCTTTTGAGTAACATGAAAACTGCTCCAAATACTGCAAAAACAGGTTTTCACTCAAGTCACCACTCCAGAGCCAATGCAATGCTAGAAGGGGGAGCTGTGTGCCAGTCTGCTTTCCCCATCAATAAAGCTTCTAGCTAAGTCCTGATCTTGGCACCTTCACTGTGGGGGATGACTGCAGAGCAGAAGGGGTGATTAAAAGAGAATGAATAAAACAAGAACCACCCTGTGCCTTTGCTCAGAATGTAAACTAAACCTAAAGTCAATCATTTGCAAAGTTCTGTCCAAGTTTGCTGACTCAAAAAGTTTCATATAGTTTGGAAACATTTGGAAATACATTCAGTCTTCTGAGTTACATACATGGCTGGAAGGAACCTATCTTATCTTTCAGATACCAGGTGAAACTTGCAATGCTTCTGGCTACAAAATCCTTGGTTCAACCTATAAACACTGAGCAACTTTGATATTGGACAGAAATCACTGAAGGGGAGTAGTCTGATATGGAACACAGAATAGTCATGCTTAGAGACCTTTGACTGACCATAACCTCACTCCATAAGGGATTCTCTCAAAGTACGTCAGCCACAAGGTGGTTTCTGTGGGGAAAGGTTGTTCCAAGTCTGTGAAAACTTGAAAGAAATCCCAGCTGGAATAAACTGGTGAAGCTCCATTGATGACAATGGAGTTACATTGATTTATGCTGGCTGAACTGGCCCTCATTTTTGCCAGTGATGTTTCCCATTATTGTTTCTCTGTCACCCAAGTGGGTGCATGAAGGGGCCTGTGTCTAACAAAGAACAAAGAGACTGGTGGAAACATTGTCAAGCTGTGCCACACGTTGAGAGAGCGAGGCATTGTCTATTGGAGATTGGCTACGCTGACTTCCTATCTCAGGTCTAATGCTTCTCTTATGGCCTTGGGCAAGCCACTTATCCTCTCTGCCTCAAAAATGGAGATAACGCCACCTATTCCACAGGAGAATTGGGAGGATTAACTAGTTAGTGTTTCTAGAGCACTTTGAAGAGGAAACGTGTCAACTACTGTTACCTTTTACAAAAAATGATTATACTGGACAGAATCTCCATGTCCTGCATGAAGTTCACATTTTCCCAAATCACAGCCCAAAACCATCCGCCGTAATTTCAAATATTTGCTTCCTGGGTCACAGCGTCTCTGACTTCATCCATAGTTACAGTAGATAGGTTAATTCGTTTTATAAGGGATAAAAAAACCTCATGCTGCAATACATAAGCCAGTCACTTATTGGGATCCAAAGGAAGCTTTCCCTGTAGGCAGCTTTATCCCATAACTAACTACCAACCGGCTTCTAGCACCTTGTTCTAAAGCACCTGACACTGGCCACTGTCAGAAGCAGAATACTGACTAGCTGGACCATGTGTCCAACCCAGTCTGGCAATTCCTGTGTTCCTATAACTACGAGCTATAATAGTGAGGGCAGAACACCTTGCTGGTGTTGCTTTAATACCAAGGAGTATACTGAGGCTTGCCAAGTAACCCTGTAGCTAACAAACTGAAGTGTCCAATGAAGGCTTGGATTTGATTCCAACCTTTTGCCTCCTTCACTCTGGGTTAGCAGGGGCTACAAGTGTCCTCACTGGAGCAACTTGTATTGCCCTGCAGTGCCTCAGCAAAGCGTGATGGTGATGGGCTCTGAAAGAAATTCCACCCATTCCATAGCCAGGGCAGGTCACATTAAGGAAGTGATGACATGATGGGGAAAGGGAACTCTGTTGTGGACTCATACACAAAAAGAAAATATATGGATAACTTTTCTTAAGATCAGACACTTGTAGCTGAGACAGGTGGGCCAGAGGGAATTTCCTGGGAGAGCTGTTCCTTGTCACCCACAAGCATCCTGGTTGCAGGCTCAGCTTTGGGAATGCACAGAATATGCCCATACAGTGAGTCCAGCCACTTAATAGGGATTTTCACCAGTTGGTTACATTCTCTGGCCACCCATTGGAAGGCAGAACAGCAGCAAATGCCACAGCATCCATTAGAAATGTGCTATCTGTCCTCTCCCCACAGCTGACTGGAGTTTAGACAACTGAATATGAGGTAAAATGTGCTGAGTGGTAACTTTCTCAAAACCACAGTGCAAGTTGCCACCACTGGCTCCTCCTGCCCTGCCTGACAAAACAGAACAACGAAAACATTTTCAATCATTTCCTGTTGCCCACCGGTAAATTAGCCAACCAAGCCTGGTGTCTGAGCCAACTCTCAGTTGGATAATTTAATTACATTCTTCCTACATCAATTACCCCCTTGGATGTGTCATTCCTCTGTACTTCCTGTTATGTAGTCGGTAGATTTGCTATGCACAGTTAAACAGCAGTAACATTCCCATTCAGTGCACTTCAGGGATAGCTGAGGAGATTATGTATTTTGCATGTACATAGTATATATACAATAGGACATACACGTGCACATCCAGCCGTATCTGTCCAGATCTAAACTTGGGAGAGTTCATATCTTGGATTTGGGTTTTGGCCTCATACAGAAAAATTGGCCAGTTGTGAAGCCTAGCTCGGGGAGTTGTGAAGCCTAGCTCGGGGGAGTTTCGGATCTATCTATTTATCTATCACGAATGGTTAAAAAAAAAAAAAAAGTCTTGCTGACATAACTTCAGGATGGGCATAATACTCGTGAGTGTTGACGCCAGGGTGGTTTCTGCAGGACATGCCAAATGAATGCCAGTATGACCATATTACCACACCACACCATCAGGTATAGCGTCTGTGCCACATGCTTCAGAAAAACTGTTTTAGGGATCTTAAAAAATATAATGGACTTATTTCGTATATCCCTGTAAGCACATGTGCATTGGTTACCAGCAGTCCCACTGTACAGGGCTCAGGAGCAGGGTGGGTGGGGAGGGGGGGAGGTGTCACAGTTTTAAAGTGCATTATCTTGGGTTCTTCTAGGGTGTATTCCTTTGGGGAAGTGAGACTGTCCCCTTTCAAATGGCATAAAGCACTTGTTTCTTGCCATGATTTGGGATTCTCCTATATCACACCAGTCCTCTGCTATGTTTTCAGCCCCTGTGGCTGTTGCAGCCTGATGTAAGTTAGGGTATCCATTAAGCTGCTCTAACATGGTGCATGGGTGCTGGCTTGCACGGGGAGGCAGCAGCAGGATCCAGGAAGTGCAATGGAGTGTTTTAAAGCACCTTTGCTTAACACCGCAGGGGTTAGCCATAGATGAGGGTTTGACCGAAAATCTTTAGTCTAAGTATAGCTCCCCCCCCGACACTGAAATGGTGTGACCACTGTTTCCCCCAAACCGTGAACCACCACCCCCCACACACCATGCCAAGTGCTGTAACACCATTGCCTGTATGTGTTCCTGATGCTAAAACTGAGGGTTCCAAACAGTGCCCCCTGGAAAACGGCTCTCCTCTGGCTCATTAACTCTTGAAAACACTTTAACCAGCCCCGGCCTGCCAAAAATAATTCAACTACACTGAGACAAGAAAGAGGCTGTTAAGTTACAGAGAACTTAGCCACATTCCTAATCATTGCCCATCCTCATTAATGGTTAAGCTCACTTTCCTTAATGGTTTGTTGTTTCCCCCACAGATGGGAGCTGTTTGAATAAGAATCACCACCTTCTCCCTGAAAAAGCTGTTTCTGTCTCTCTACAGCTCTAGGCAAGCAGCCTGTTAAAGCAGCACCTCAAGTATCCTGCGGGTAGCACATTCTCCCTCTCTAAGATCTATTATTTGGCTTGTGAATAGGTGAGTTCAGAAGCATTGTCAGTGCAGATGAGGGGAAAGGGCTATGGACACTGGCTAGAAATAAGTAGAGTGTGGGAGGAGCTGGGTAGGTCAGGGAAGCTTGATCAGTGATGCTCCTGCTATTTTAGTCCTGGGCCCCACACAGTCCTGCCAATGTACCCACATCCTAAGTCTGGAGCATCCCTCTTGTTTCAACCCTGGGCACCTACAGCTCCACCAACAGATATCAATCCAAAGTGCAATCTCTCCTGCAGTTCCAGTCCTAAGCCCCACATAGATCCACTAAGATATCACAGTCCAAACTTGCTATTGCATTTTGCTATTGCTAGTCTTGGGCCCTGATCGGACCCTAGCACCAGCCTGGAACTCTACATGTACGTTAGGGTCTAGTGATGTGCCACCAGTTGGGGGGCTGTGGCCCTGATCTGCTAAATTGCAGTCTTAGTCCTCTACTGGAACCAGACTGCTGATAGTGGCAAATTTGCCAAACTGAGTGTTGGTTTTTCTATTACAGTCAAATGTTCAGTGAGGGCTAAGTTCAGTCCAGAAGCTCACTATTACTTCTGACTAATAATCATGAAGTTATATTTGAACCAGGGATGTATGAACCTGCTCAGATAGAGTAAGATCTGCACTCAACCTTAACCTGAAACTTGAACCATTCTGAACTTGACCCTTCTTTCAAGTTTGAAAAGTTCAGTTAACATTTAAAAAAAAAAAACTTTCACATTCCTCTGCCCTCTCTGAGACTTGACTGGAGGTAAGAGCACTGAAATACCCTGAGGAATGCTGTCTTGCAGTATTTCTGACCCTGCTGAAACCAGTATTTCTGACCCTGCTTAACTCTGTTAAGATTTGCAGCTTGATCTCTAGGCCGAAGAAGTTCAGACAAGGTTCAAATAAACATCTAGGGTCAGATCCTCAGCCTGGTATAAGTCAAAGTCGCTCCATTGACTTCAATGGAGCTATGTCAGTTTGTTACCAGCTGAGGATTTGGCCTCTAAAGTTTTGATTGCTCAACTACACCAAACTGCTGAAGCTTTTGAAATCCATTCATTACAGTATTTCACATTAATTGAATGTTAATAGGGTGCTCAGTGCTAAACAAAAATATCAGATTGGGAGACAAGGAATTTACAGTCTAGGCCAGAGTTACACATCCCAACTGGTTTTGTCTACCTTGAACTCGTGTGTTAAAAAAACAAAAAGTCATTCTACACTAAGGCCTGAATTTTCATGGTCAGGACCAGGTTTTCAGGAGAGCACAGCTCCAGTTTAGCCACAAGCAGCTAGGTTGTCAAAGCAGCAGGCTGAGTACTGTGGTCTTTGGAAAAGCTGGCCATAGATGCCCCAATGAGAGCAGCTGGGTGCTGAGTGCATCTAGAAAGCTAAGTCTGATTTAGATCCTGGATAGGGT